TGCTGTTTCGAGAAAAACGCGTTTAAAGATAAAAAGATCGTTTTCACTCGCAACTAATGAGACTCTCTAGCTAACGAGCAGCTGCTCTTTAAATTGCTATAATTCAAAAACTATTTGAGATATCGATTTGAAATTTTAATATTTTTGAAGGTGTAATCTACCGAAATATGAAAAAAGATCGATTTTTTTTGAAATTTCACACTAGGTGTGTCCCTTAAGGCCTTAATTTAATATTCTTTTGACTTTCTCGAGAGCAAAACCTCCAAATAGAAAGTTGAGCTACTTGAAAGCGCTATACATATAACGTTTTCACTAAAAAAATGTACATACATATGTATGTATTATATAATTACTGCATGCAGTGCCTTAAACTAACTTTTACCACAAAACCAAAAAAAAAGAATGTATTTAAGCTATCCACAATTGAATGGGATTTTTGAATTCAGGATCCTCAAATTACATAATTCTACTTTACTATTTTTGGGAGGGAGATGATTTTTGGCAGGAGAGGAGAGAGCTGCCAAGGGCAGTATAAGTCACTGCGGTCATCACACAAGAGGCCAGGAAGCGAGCTGCTTCGACGTGCTCAGCCCAAAGGGAAAGAAGGGAATTTAGATCTGTAGGTTTTAAGGAACTTGCCAAGAGGTGGTTAGCTCTTGCTAGGTCTCATTGCATGCATAACATACGCTGGATATGTCGCGGTCAATTATGGTTAGGTCGGAATTTAGGCGGCTATAATACCTAACTTTTAATTATGCCAGGTTATCTATCCTCTCTCTACGTCAAAGTTTAAAAAATTAACCGCAATTTTGGGAGAATTATCAATGGGAAAACATTGAAACTTGCCCTTTTTGTAACCGTTATAATTAATGTAATTATTGATCGAGCTTTTTATAACATACAGACAAGTAAATATATATATGTGTATGTATGTACGGATGTCAGCTACTACGTATGCTTGTATCTAAATATATGCAAAACCCCGTATAACTTCATTGTACAAGCGAATTAGGTAGCTGAAATGTTACAGGCAATAAAAAATAACAAAAAAATCCCATCAAATTACAACAACATGATGACAACAATAAATCGCTTGGCGGTTAATGAAAATATAAAAATCCATGTATGTATGTAAATAAAGAGCAACCACCAACTTGATACGCCCAACCCCAACATCACCCTTAAATAATAAAACGCCAAGCACAGAAACTTTAAAAACAAAAATATAAGCACAGCCACATTATGGCTCAACCGTAGCCCAACAGAGAGACCAAAAAACTTTATCAACGAGATAAAGTAATTTATTAGTTGGGACTGCATGTTGACGTTGCCAAGTTTCCTTGTTTGCCGTACGTACGTATATTGGTACCCCCTGCCACCCAAAACTCAAGCAATCATGTCAGAGTTGTTGTTGTTGTTGCTGTTGTGTATACTGAAAGTTGGTATAAATGAGCGCCATTAAATTGAAACACACGCATATTAAGACGTTATAAAGGAGCAAATAATAAACAGCTAACGTGAATCCAAATGACTGGTATGTAGGGATGTCAAAGGATGTGTAAGCAGAAGCAGTGCGACGCGCTGTTCGTACAAACAAAAATTATTGCATTGTGTTTAAAGCTGAGCTGAGTGCTTTGAAGGGCAGATGGTGGAGCGTGGGGAAGTTATATGCATATCTATATAAGTAATAAATAGGATATGAGGCTATAAGCTCTTGGCAAGCCAACGCTAAGACTGCTGCTGCCACCACCTCAGCCATAAACCACTATAAAAAGAAAATCCAACTAATGTGGCTAATAAAGGCGAAAAGACAAGGCAACGAATAACAGAATAACAGTGGTAACTTTCAAAATATTAAGGAACATAACGGTGGGCTTAAAATAAAAACAACAGAGTGTGTGAGACAGAGAGAGGTCAGTCAGCGTTGGTTATATTGTCTAAAATGGCTGATTACTTATATAATAGAACACAAATAAGCCACTGTGATAAACAATTTTGCAGAGAAAACAGCAAAGTTTCATTAACATGCACATGCATATGTACATATGTATGTAGCTAACCAGCCGACATTTTAATATCAACCACCATCAACATTTCAGCAATTCACCAAGTAAACCACCCACTCGCCGCATCAAACTCGTTGAAACATACATACATATATATATATATACAAGAATTTAGCTGCTTCATTTCCTCTACACACATTGCCTCTTCAACTTCCTCTTCCCACTCCACCGCTACAACTGAACGCACATTATGCCATATCATTCTTGATGAAACAGATAAAATCCAATTATTAAAGGTTTCTCCCCATCTCAGTTGCTCCAATGTTGTTGGTCATTTGTGGATAAGCGAAACAAAAGATTCGTTCATCGCTATGAATACGAAATTTGTACATAACAATGCAACGTGCATACATACGTACGTGGTGTGCATACATGCAAGCTAAATTCATACATATAAACATTGGGGCAATGGAAATAAACAAGTTTGCTTTGACAAGGGATGGAGCAACACAAAAGAAAAGGGAAAAAATAATGCGCTCCCCCATGCTTTATAAAAATTGAGAGCGTAGCTTAAGAGTTACCAGGCTTTTTTAACCTGCAAATAAAGTTTTCAAGTCGACGGGAGTATTTTTTTTATAAATGACTTTGGAGCCAGTAGTCCTATTTTCATCTTTTTTTATGAGATTATTTATACTTGGAAGATCTCAGAGAAAAGCTTGTCAAAATTTTCTTTTTTAAGGATAGCAAAATTGTGCAGATTTCTTGTTTAAATTAAAATTAACTGTAATTAGCAGTTATTGCAGAAAAACAATGCAAATCAAAATTAATTTTTAATTTATTGATTTTTATATATTGTATATAGTTAATAATAATTATTTAATTGAGCAATTCTCAAGCGAAAATTACATTTATTGTGTGGAAATAGATATTCTTCAGTATATAAATATTATTTAAATAATTATTTGTCCCAAAAATAACCGAACTTTTTGGATATAATAATATATTATCTTTGAAAGTTATTATTTATTTAAAATAGGTTCCATTTGACTCAACACAACGTTTGGAACGATCAACCAGCGCATGCATAGATTTTTTTATGTCATTTATAGAAATGTTCTTCAGTACCTCGGTTACGGCAGCAGTTTTGGAAATAAAAAATAGTCATGGTGAAAGATCAGGTGAATACAGAGGATGACCGATGAGAGAAATCCCATTTTCATTAAAAATTCGAGCGATTTTTTGGTCGTCATTTAATTCATGTGGAACAAATCGCGTACAGACCTTTCTTTTCCCCAAATCTTCAGTTAAATTTGCCAATATTATCGTAGTAAAATTTGCATCGATACCAAAGATTTCACGGACTTTTTCCACCAGTTCAGCCCGATTACTAGTTTCTGGACGTCCTGCTCTAGGGTCGTCATTTAAATCCCCAAGACCATTTTTAAATCGTGTAACCCACGTATAAACTTGCGTTCGACTCTTTCATTAATTTTTTTTTCAAGTTTGACGCAAAATTTTATATTTGGTCATTGTTCCATTTTATTTTTGATCCATTAGCACACTTTTGGTTTTATTGAAATGGCTGTCACTTTTACATCTGTCATCCGACTTACATGATATTAGGTGCGTTTGAAAGAGGATGAATGTATCTTTTTAATGTTGCAAATTTTTAATAGATGGCGCTGTATGTTGTATGATTCAAATATAAAATTCGGGATATGTTTTAAACGAAAATATTACGCTAAAATATAATGATAAATTTCCAAACAAAGTCTTTATTCATAATTGTTTTTGGGACGATGCTTTATAATAATTTTTGATATAAGTATTAAGTAAACTATAGGCCTGGTTTCTTTATAAGAATTGAATATTTTGTTATACAATAAGGAAAAATGGTAGAAGTGACAGCTGTTTCGGAGATCACCAGATCTCCTCATCAGACTTCTTAATGCAGGGATCGAACCAACGGATCCTGACTCAACAGGCGAGTGCTCTACCGCTGCGCCAACATTAGCCACAAAGCAAATTGGTAGATCTTTACATTCTTTTTTGCACACAATAATAATAAAAAAAATTTTTTTTTGGTCGTTTTATTTTTGCGAAATTCGAAAAGTTTTTATTATCAACTAGCAAATATATAAAAATCATGAATAAGAATAAAAATACACATGATATACGAAAAGAGTGCGCAAGTGGCTTTCTTACACTGATATCCTTTAAAATGGAATATTTTAAGTAAACGATGATTTTCATTGAGAAAAATAAAAAATTGCCAGTTTTCCCTCTTAGGTTTTCAAGCGCAACAGCACGAAACAAAAAATAAAAATAAAAAAAATTTACACTTACGTTCAACATTGCCTAAGTATTTCGTTAACCATATGGTAATTATCTAAATTGCTTTTTCTTTGGCTTTCTTTTGCAATTTTTAAAATTGGTTCTAGTAATACGTTTTTTATTACCCTTTTGTCCATAACCTGCGTTTTTTTAATATGAGGGTTCGAAAATTTCGTTTAACTATGGTACCACTTTCTTTTGGGTCAATATGTATAACAGATCACCTATTTTTTGCCGATCTTAAGTACTTGCTACATATTTTAAAACTCTCTTATGTGTAATGGGTCTTCCGAGAGTATATTAACGAGTTTTTTTTAATTATTGATCTAAATTGTTGTGTAAAAGAGAATTAAAAATTTAGTCAAATACAGCACATAAGCAGCGAAAAAATATGAACGTAGAGCTTTTGTACCCTGGAGAGTACGCCTAATTAAGATTGAGTCTAAGAAGAGCTCTTATAAAAATTTCCGAAGCATAATTTTAACACGTATAGACATTCGGAGCTTAATTTTTCATAAAAAGATCGAGGTGAGCCTTTCAAATGGGAACTAAATGGGCTTAAACTGTTCTCTGGACTTAGTTCATATGAAAATTTCTTATAAAACTCTTAAATTTGTGTTGTATTTACATAGATATTTTCATATTCTTGTGTACTTTCAGATAATATTAACAAAGGAAACGGGACTGATTTGAGTTGTTATGAATTTGCCGGACAGTTTTATCGCAATGTATAAAAAGAAATCTTCAAATTATACGGAACCAGAAGTACATGCGCATGCTTATGGATGCATACATAGACATTATGAGGCCATAGTCTACATCACTGGCTTATGAGAAATGTCGTTTGTTTTTTTTTTTTCAAAATATTTGCAGAATAATTTTTCGTCGTTAAGCGGCAACTCTAATGGATGTTACTCTGTGCTCCCATTGCCCCATTGCGCTAAAACTTAATTTTGCTGGGTGGAAGCCTATTTTTTCTCTATCCCCTCTCATTTTTACAAATACATACATACACGTATGCATATGTACATATCAATAATTATGTTAACATACATATAAAATCGATTTTCAAAGAGGTGAGCACTTGTGAATATTTAAATCTACATATACCTAAATATATTGAATATGTATGTACATACATATCTTTATTTTATAATGATATTTTTAATAGAAAACAAAACACAACACTAATTACTATCTGTCCACTGATTTTATTATTATTATTTTTCCCTACATACATGTCTCTCTTCACATAAACGTACGCACACACACACACACTCGCTCACTCACTCTCAGCCACGCAGTAATTTCCTCATCAAAATTGTTCGGAAGGTCGTAATTGCTGTCATCGTCGCATTATCATCTATTCGGCAGCACAAAACATACATGCCAACATACCCGAAAACCCATACAGACACACATGGCGACATGTATGCATATAGACACTCTTCCATTGCCGCTGCTACTGCAATCTTTGATTTTCCGCATAATTTCCTGCTGCAAACATAAACACTTGCGTATATAATCGTACAAACCTACAGTACATATGTATGTATATAAATACATAAATGCACAGATACACCTAGCTTGTTGCTATTGGTCAGTTAATTTTTTATGTTTTGTTGTTGTTAATGATTTTTGGGCTCACAGACAGGAGAATACCTAAGTATATAAAATGAAAAACGCCCTCTTCTTACATGGAATACGTGCTCTCTCTTCAGCCTCAGCCAGCTATATAAGACAAATCTCTGAGTGTCCTAGCGTCATTCGAGTTTTAACCACCACCGCCGAAGTAGTTACCGTACAATTTTCAACAGGCAAAGTAGCGATATTTTGAAAACGGAGAAGAGCAAACGTAAATGTGTTAGAAACACCGACAGCTACACCTCTACGGACAGTGATTTTAGTTTATTTTCTACATTTTGCCTATTGACATTAGAGCAGCGCTAACAATATGCACGTCTTTGGATATAATATGGATGTTCAGTATGCCGCGTCGCGTCGTAAGTTATTGAGTGCAGATCAGAAAGCTATGATGGAGGAGCACTTTGCTAAAACACAGACACCGCCACCCTCACCAAATGGTAAGTTAGAGTAGACACAAAGTGAAATTAATAGCTTATTTATGAATTTGTTTTTTTTTTTTCAATTTAAAGAATGCCAATCGAGTTCAGACTCAACAATGAACAGCACACGCATGAGTGGCAATGAAATCCCCTCCGATCCATCGGTGCGTCGTTATCGTACCGCTTTTACACGCGATCAATTGACACGCTTGGAAAAGGAATTCTTCAAAGAAAACTACGTCTCTCGGCCACGTCGTTGTGAACTGGCTGCTGAGTTGAATTTACCCGAGGCAACAATTAAAGTTTGGTTTCAAAATCGTCGTATGAAGGATAAACGCCATCGCATGGCTGTGGCATGGCCTTACGCCGCCGTGTACTCGGACCCAGCTTTTGCTGCTTCACTACTGCAAGCCGCCGCCAATAGTGTGGGCATGCCTTATCCTCCTTATCCCGCACCGGGCCCAAATCCTATGTTACCAACGCCCGGCATGCCAATGCACAATCCCTATACGTCATACCGTTACAATCCCTATGGACAAATGGGCTCAGTACGTCCAGTGCCACCGCCAGCACCAATGCAGCAGCCACATCATCATCATCATGGTATGCCACCACATGCAGCCGCTGCAGCCGCAGCAGTGGCAGCTGCCGCAATGCATAATACACCACTTGCTGCAGCCGCATGTGCCACAAACTATCCACCAGGCATGATGGGTATTGGCATGATGCCACCACATGGCTATCCATCATTGGAGAGTATATCGCCGAAACGTCATTCACCCACATTGGATCTACAATCATCTGCATCGCCGAACTCCTCCACACTGTCATTGAGTCCAACCGGCTCGGATCACACCAAAGTGTTTGATCATATGCCACCAAAAACCGCCATGCCTTTAGTGAAATCGAATAGCATGAGTAGTAACAGTAGCGCCGAATATATTAGCATAATCCATGAGAGCCACAACAACACCAGCGCCACACATGCAAGTGCCAACACCACAATAGCGCATGGTAGTCCCAATACCACGCTAACAACTTCTTATAGCAGAAACAGCGAACCATTGCCTGCCAATCTCCAAGAAATGAGCCATCACCTAACCGCCACACAGTCGGTTGGACTTTTGATGACCAGCACGAGTACTAGTAATAATCATAATATCACCAAAAGTGCGGCTGTTAAGCGACCAGCGCCCGCTTATTCACCGGCGGAGCGGACAGTTGTCGCCGAGCCAAAACCGAAACTCTTCAAGCCCTACAAAACTGAGGCTTAAGCCTGCTTAAGCGTTTCTTGATTTGAGACGTGAGGAGCTCAAATGTGAAAAAGTACTGTGATAAAAGACAATTTTGCGTTATGCTAAGAAGTAATTGAAAAATAAACAAATTTTGATTTGACATTAAGTGTTATTAGTTATATACAAACAAACATACATAAATACATTGAAAACAATAATTTGTTGGCCGAGTGACATGTTCTGATGGCCAACAACTCAAAAAGCTAAGTGAAAAAATATTTAAAAACTGCAAAAATCAGAAGATTATAAATTCCGAAAAAGCAATTCAAAGCTCAAGAAAAAAGTGAAAAATACTCAAAACAAAGACTAAGAGCTCCAAACAAAAATTGAAAACTCCACAAAAAGTTAGACTCGAAAAAGTTAGATGCAAAATACAGAACATGAAAAACTTATAAATTATAAATTAAATAATCTTAATAAGCAAATTACAACAATATTGTAAAAGTAGGCACGTAGAGAGTAAGAAACATAAACAAGCATTAGATAATACACGTGTTCAAAAGTACATGCATTCAACAGTAAATTGTATATTTCATTTTATGATAAAACAAAGAATGAAAAAATTTTATTTAAAAAATAAAATTTATTAAAAAATTCAATGAAAAAACTGGATTTTACTTTAATCTGCGCATCTCTTGATTTCAACATAATTTACGCTTTTATTAAGTTGTTTTTTGAGAGGATTAAGGTTGCCCCAAAATTTACTAATTCTTTTTCAGAGGATTAAGGTTGCCCCAAAATTTACTAATTCTTTTTCAGAGGATTAAGGTTGCCCCCAAAATTTAATTTGCCGAAATTTCCCGTTTCTCAGAAATTTGAAATTTTCAGATATTGGATATTTTTGCCCTGAAATATTTTTTACAAATTTTGATATTAATTAATTATTTAAATTTAAAAATTTTGAAAATTCACCATAATTTTTTTTCATTTTATTTTAATTTTTTTTAATTAAAAAATTTTTTTTTTTAAATTTTTATTTCAACAAAGAAAACAATTTCTTAATTTTTTTTCTATTTCTTTTATAATTTTCAATTTCACAGAAACTTGATTGTTCTCAAATTTATTTTCTTAGATTCTTAATTTTAAAATTTTCGAGCGTCAGCCCCAGAGCTCTAGACATATGTAGTCTGTGCTAAGATGAGACCAGCATGATAGGGGGACTTGGATCTGTAAAATCTAAAGAAAACCTGCAGAAAAGCCTTTAGCCTAACAAGAGCTGTCCTCGAACATTCAAACAAAGGTTCAGGATGAAATTGCTCATATCCAACTACGCCAGTCTCTGTACCCCAAACATTTTCCGTTTAAGAGCTGAAAAAACTAGCAACCGGTCTAACTCGACGAGTTCGGACCAGAAGAAGAGAGGTGTTAGATGAACTGGTAAGTATCTCACGGGTACTGCATGCAGGCTTAGGTAAGGTATGTCGGGGTGAAGTAACGAGGAGTTAGTAAGGATATCCAGACGATAACTATGGTAGGAATACTTTGATCTCTCGTGAATGATCGAGCTTTTAGTCTGCACTGGTAGCCAGTACTACATACCTCAATGGAAACCTAAAACCGTTTAGGACAACAAGCAAACTCAGTCTAAGCTCATCTTCTAAAAATGAAGGCTAATATCAACAACAGCAACAACAATTTTTAAAGTTGTGCAGCAACGAGGTCTACAGTGGATGTAAAGCTTTCGAAAGCCAACATTTATAAGATATGGAGAGTAAATCAACGGAGACAGTGTTACATATGATGGTACTATAAAGTGAGAGATCTTAAAGCGCAGAGAACAGCAAGGTTACTAAATTGAAGTTTTTTTTTTAATATTGGTATAGTAAGAAGTAATCCATTATTTTTACATTATATTGAGAGTGTTGTTTGCCATAGTAAGAGTTATCCGATTTTTGTTAGATAACTTTTTGCCATTTTGAAAGTAATTATCAAGGTCATGCTTCACTCATAGAAATCCTATGCCTCTCTTAATAAACCCGACGTCTTTCTTCCAGAAACCCTATGCCTCTCTCATAAAAATTCTATGCATCTCTTATAGAAACTCTATGCCCACCTCATAGAAACCATATGCCTCTCTCATAGAAATATTTTACATCTCTCATAAAAACAGTATGCTTCTCTCATAGAAATATTTTACATCTCTCATAAAAACCCTATGCCTCCTCAAAAAAGCACTCTGCCTCTCTCATAGAAACCCTATGTCTCTCTATGCCTCTCTTATAGAAACCCGATGCCTCTCTTATAGGAGCTCTATGCCTCATAGAAATTGTATGCCCCTCATATAAACCCTTTAACCCTCTCATATTATATAGGCTCTATATCCCTCTAATAGCAACCTTACGGCTCTCTCTTAGAAACCCTATTCCTCTCTCATAGAAACCCTATGCCCCATTATATAAACCCTATGCATCTCTTATAGAAACTCTATATCCACCTCATAGAAACCCTATGCCACTCTCTTAGAAACCTTATACCCCTCTCATAGAAACTCTTTGCATCTCTCATAAAAAACCTATGCCTCTCCCTTAGAAACCTAATTCCTTTCTCATGGCAACCCTATGCCTCTTTTCAAACACCCTATGCCTCTCTCATAGGAACCCTATGCCTCTCTTATAGAAACCCCTCTCATAGCAACTCTATGCCTCTCACATAGAAACCCTATTCCTCTCTCATAGAAACCCTACGCTCCTCTCTTAGAAACCCTCTCACATAGAGACCCTATTCCTCTCTCATAGAAACCGTACGCTCCTCTCTTAGAAACCCAATGCTTCTCTCATACAAACCCTTTCTCTATTGAGGAATCATCCGCATTCGATAATAGTAATCGATTGTAATATTTATCGATGCCTTTTTAGTATTCGATTTTTTATGATTTCCCTAAGCAGAATCGGAATATAAAAGGTTTCTACCTGTGTCTATTATTACATCGCCACGCTTAGGTTCCAGAGAGGATCATCGGTACACATGTACATATATATGTATGCGTGTATTTATCTCACCTCATTTCACAGAAACCGCTAATATCCTGTCATCTATTTATGTATGTATGCCTCAACTCGCCTTAGGACATCTTTAGAAATACACAACATACATACATACATACATACTCGTAGCTATTAGCGAGGTATTTAGCTAAGTTCATTAAAAACAAATTTGTTTGTTTGCGGCAAAAGAAATAATTATTATTCAGGAAGTTTTCTTACCGCTTACCGTTAGCCGTTAAGCAAACAATAAACATAAACAAAAATACGCGAAGGAGATGTAAATAAGTGGGCGTACCCGGGCCGCGGATTTATTTAATGATAGGAAAATTTTCGGAAATACCTTTGAGGTGCGGCAAAAGAGCTCGAGCAAAGCTGACCGACATACATACATTATTTAACCTTCAAACAACAATAGCTGCTCGAAGAGCATCTCTGCCCACGCATATTGCACATGAGTAAGTAAAAATGCAAAACAAACAAGAACAATACAGCTCTAAAAAGGATATAATACCAGGTTAATAATCGCAGGAAAGGCAAAGTAACCTATTCAGCTTTATTCCATAAAAGAAATATTATATTAAATTCATACTGTAACTGCCGCTCAGGCTAATGACACACTGTGCATAAAACCCGGCGTCCAACACGTCTCAGCTGCTTGGCATGCGCCGCATGCGTGCCTCCGATGGCTTTCCAGCGCTGGTTACCCTCTTCCAGGGAACACGCTCAGGTACGGCTTCAAGGAAAAACGATTTTTGCAAAATTTTCCTAATAAAATTAAAATAATTTACAAATTTCACATCGCAAATGGATAGAATGACAATTTCTATTGATTTGTTAATACATACATACATGCATACACGTATGTATGTATCTATGTATTTTGTTATCCTTGCTGGTTGGCACGCGTCATTATTGGCGCACAGCTTGATTCGAGGCAGATACAGAGGGAGCGATTGACCTTGTTACTGTATCCAACAGTGTTGGAGGTAATTAAGATATCCAAACGAGTTATTGTTCAAAAATTAATGTTCCTTGCATTGTGCATCTCCCCGGACGATTATGGCCTATTAATTTGTTTGCATTCAATTAATGACATTCGCAATTAAAATATATGTATATACATACATACATATGTATCTGCAACACAGTGGCATGCAATCGAGGAGGGAAGGAAAATTAGATTGAAATATTTACATTATATATAAATAGCGCTTTGTAACCGCTGAAGCGATTATTTGGGCTGAGACTCTTCCTCCAATGGTAGTTTTGCGTCTTGTTGTTTTTCCAACAAATGGAGGGACATAGAGTTTATACAAAGCCGCCTCCAAATTGCTGATGGGATGAGGAGGATGAGGAGCCTTTATTTGATGTCCGAAATACACTCGGAGGGGTGGACATTCCTCGCCGATAATGGAAAGTTGTATTTGTGAAAAGTGTATATTTTTCCCTTCTCCCTTATGTTCTTTTTAGTCAAGATGATCCTAGAAATATGCTTAATTTGAAATAAATTGTCTTGTAATGGATACCTACAGCAAGTTTTCGAAAAAGTTGCATCTAAAAAATATATGATGATTTCCCTTGGCCCATTAGGTCATCCCTATACACTATAGTTATGGTCATTCTAAAGGGTAAAAAACACCCTTTGGTTTTCGAGTAGAAATAAATCGCGTGGAATTTCAAAAACGATTTTGCGCAAATGACCGCCACTGCTGGTGGTTGACTTGAATAAATTCTAACCGAGAGACCCATTTTTCGAGCATTTAAGCAAAAATGCGAGGAATATGCTCTTCCAAGGTGTCAATCGTCTCGAGCTTATCTGCGTAAACAAGCGATTTTCCATAACCAAACAACAATTAATCCAGCGATGTTCGGCATATAGACCTATGATGCCATGCGCTCACCAAAAAGCTTCCTTCAATGAATAGACTGTTTCGGTGGTTGTATGGCATACACGTATAGCGTCGTCTTGTTGGAACCTAACATCGTCCATTTCAATATTCTTCTATTTAAGCACGAAATAGTTCTTAATCATGGCCCCTAAACAGTTCCTCATGTTCACAGTTCATTATGACATTGCGGTCGTCTGGGTTTTTGAAGAAATATGAACCAGTGATTATCTCTGCCGCCAGAGTACACCAAACAGTGATTTTTTGAGGATGTGATGGCGTCTTCAACACGACTTGTGGCTGTTAAACACTCCAAATGTGACAGTTTGACTTATTAAGTTTTGTTTATTAACCCCCACAGTCTGCGCCAATTGCCGTGGGATAAGACCCGTGATAAGAAGATAGACACCCACCACCTCTTCGTCGATTTTAGAGCACGGATTGGAGCAGCCTTTACGCCGCTGTGTCTAAATTTGGTACCCCCACAAAACTTATACTGCAATCTGAACTGACCACTAAAAGCTGCGTCATGATTGAGAGCGACCTCTTCTTATCGTGTGACTTCTTTAATTTTATGCTGGAGAAAATAGGTGAGGGACAATCGTCTATAAGAGTGTACAGCTGCTGGAGTACGCCGATAATATTG